TACCTGTTGGGAGATGGAGGCTATCCTTTGCTAAGGTTCTAAAAAGAATTACATAATATTTGTTTTTGGAAGTCTTAGCCTATTTTGATCCTCAATAAACCTTGTGGGTACTATTGTCTGGTAAAAGAGCCCTAAAATACTTATTATTGATGCTTTTATGTCACCCTTAAATGTGATAGTTCATTTGCTTTAACATGCCACTTTGTTTTTTAGATGGCTGATAACTCCACTTAAAAACAATGGTTATTTAACCCCCCGTGAAAAAAGATTCAACACAGCACTTTCAAGTTTACGACAAATAGTGGAGCGGGCTATCTCACTCTTAAAAGGTCGATGGTGTAAACTAAAGTATCTTGATCATCTTGATTTGGAACTTGCTGTGCAAATTATTATGGCCGCATGTGTACTCCACAATTTGTGTCTATTACATGATGATTTTGATAATAACTATTTCCTACCAGATGATGAGGATGCCAATCAGCAAGATGATGATGAGAACAACAACCATGAGTTAAATGATGGTGCAGCAGTCCACAAAAGACAGCACCTAATGAACATTGTTGTCCCATGATGACTACGTACATTTGCTATCATTTCTGTACTCTGTGGGCACAAATATACTCAACAGAATGCTCTTATTATACTTCAACTTTAAAGGCAGTGGCGCTGTGGCCAGGGGGGGCAGGGGGCATGGCCCCCTATTGTTGAGGCCTGTCGGAAAATTGCCAATGTTGTTGGAAAATTGTCAATGTTGTTGGAAAATTGTCAAGGTTGTCGGAAAATTGTCAAGGTTGTCGGAAATTGTCAAAGTTGTTGATGGGGTGAACATTTAAAATGTTGTCGTCTGGACAAATTTTTTATTTGTCGGAAAAGTACTGCCCTTGGCCCACCCCCCCAAAACATGGGTCCCACAGCACCACTGTTTAAAGGATTTATAGTGTCACACTGTATCGCTGGCATTTGTTCTTGTTTTTATTTTTCCCCAAATCAATAAATACAGTAACATTCAAAATACATTGTTTTGTACATTTCAAATAAGATTTAGATAAAAAAAGGGTCGAGGGTTCTCAAAGGATGGTTGAAATATACGACAGATTGCAAAAAACGTTTTGATCATAGTATTCCCACAAAATGGCCATCAGCAGCTAATCGAGTCTGCAATACCATGGTGTGGCACTAATCTTATAAAAGCTTTGCACTGTAGTTTACAAACAAATTATATTATGCCATATACTTTCAATAATGTAAATAGAATATGATTATCTTTAAATAGTAAAGGGAATAATTTATGGTTAGCTGTATAACTATCCCAGTTAAGACAAACAAAATGTAAAAGCTTGTTGACAATGTAAACCTTAAAACAACAAAAACAAATACAGTATCTGTTAAACCAAACAGAGATGAAGGCCCAGTACAAACTTTAAAAACTAACAAAGGGCTCTAACAAACATAAGCAATAACTCCCTCATTGTCAATTGTTTCTTTTTCATCACTTCAAGGAACTGGCTAAAAAACTGGGGTTTTTCTTCAGGCATTTCCCTTAATAGCTCGACCTTTTTTTCCTCAGCCTTCTCTCTTTTTTCTGAGTAGTCCTTTAAAAATGAAAGCATTTCACTAGCACTCAAGTTGCTCTTTCGTTTTTGCTTTCTGGTAACTGGTTTCTTGACATCCTTATTCTGGTCATCATCACTTGTGACATCTTCATTATCATCATTAGTGGTTTCAAGAGAACATGCCGAAGGAGAAGGGGATGAAGATAACGTGTCAAATGTGTATGCAGGGTTCACATTTGGACTATCTCCCATGCATTCAGCTATACTATCCATATATTTCCAATCTTTATTTGCTCTCCCTGTTCTTTTGTTATTGTCTTCAACCTCGTTGTATTTTTGCACCAGTTTATTCCACTTCCTTAGGCACTGTTCCCCTGACATAATTACTTTAGATTTAATGTTGAAATGATGAGCAACTCTCTCGAACAATTGTTTCTTTGTAAGTTTGCCCTTTTTAAGTAGTTGCTTATGCTGCATTCATTTCAATGAGTAATCGAACATCATCATCCCATTTAAACAACTTTGAAGGATCAGATTGGGAAGTTTGGGTATTAGGGATCTCAATACTTGGAGGAGGCGTCAATTGTGTAAATACATTGAAAGGATTCATTGTAGAACTTTGCAAGGAGTCAAATGAACTGCCTATATAGTATAGCATTATATTTAAAAATTATAGCATTTTTAATTTAAATTTGAAGAATTTAACACTGCCGCTCAAATCTCTTCTTTCTCAAAATATATCAATCTTTACTTACCTCTAACAGCTTGTGAAAAATTACAGGAATTATTGTGGAATTGTTCAGACTGAAATGGTTGAGAGCCCGCCATTTTTGTTTTGGTGGCATTTTGCTCGTCGAGGACTAGGAAATGTTTTATTGTGGACAACCTCGAGAGATTGTCCGAAATTTTCGAAACAGCATTCCAGGAATTAACATGTTCCATTTGATTTTCAAGCAATATATTTCTGGTATTTCCATCAAATGGAGAGCGCCCATGGATAGCTGTCCATGTTCTCCCGACGTTTGGCAAATCTAGGTATAAATTCAGTGGCGTAACAGAGGAAGAGGGGGCCCTTAGGCATATTCAGTGTGGGGGCCCCTGTTGCCATTGTTTGACTACGATATTATATTTATATTGAATATTATTGAATGCTCTGGAAAATTCTGTGTCAATAACAATAACAGTCTCCAACACATGTAACTTCTTATAAGAATAACGAAAGCATTAGTGAAGTCTTTTAAAGTTCATCAATGATCGCGGGGTGGGTCACTGTGCATGGCTGGTCATCCTCACTGATCTCATAATATAGCGGACTGTCATGAATAGCCAACACTGATTGGTCCAATTTAAAATTTGCATTATAAGTTTATAATGGACAGTTCAATGGTTTATAACGACTACATGACGACAGCGAAATAGCAAACATTTCTAAAAAGTGGTGGAAATATTTGACTTGGTTTTTTGTGAATATTTAAATTGTAAACAGTTTTATTTTACAAAACCTGGAGACTGATCGACACCATCGCCTAAAACATTTAAGCTTCTGTTACATGATGCCACGATTTGTGAAACCTGTCTCGCAACAGCATTGCGAGACAGGTTTTGTGACACATTGCAGCGTGTATTACCCTTCCATGTCACAGACCTGTGTCAGTTTCCGTAGCGAGATAGGTTTCACAAAAAGATTCAACTTTTCGGAATGATTGCGAACTCCTTTCACTGGCATTGTACCATGTAACAACATTTGTTAAACCTGTCTTGCAACCTTGAACAAGCAACCAATCAGATCAAAGAACAATACCCAAGGTCATCAAATGATCATAAAACAACATGGGACGACTACATTGATTTAAACAATGAATTGTTCGACAACATCACCAGTGACCATGTCATTGAAGGAAGTATAAATAGTATAGCAGAAAAAAGAAAGATTATCATGAACAACCCATGTTTATGGAATAGCGAAACAAGGGAGTATGGCAACAAACCAAAGAGGAAATCTGCTCTTTCCAGCAACACCACAGTGGAAGCGATAAAGAAACTGTTACACAGCCTAGCTTTGCACGTTGATGACACAAGAAATTAAGAGTGGCATTGCAGATACCAAATATCAGTCGAAATGGCCACTATACTCCTGTATGGAATTCTTGAAAGAAGAAATTTTAAAGTCTTTAAAAGGAAAGGAATTCCCGAAATGGTGTGACAAGGAAATCGAGTCTAAAGACAATGTGAAAGAGCATCCTTTGTTGTGGAATCGTCAACTGAAAGAGTATAGGGACAGAAATAAACGATCTCAAGCCTTTGAGAAAATAGCCACCCAGTGTATACCATTAGGAAGTAAGTCTGTTGATGACTGCCATACTATGTCAGACATGAAGGTAACAAAAAATGTGGTACAGACACAAATTCAGTTTCTGTTGCAACATGGAAATTTTACTAAAGCATGATGTTTGCAAGAGAATGTAATGACTTTGATTGTTCCACAAGTACTAGTTAAAGTGGAGATGACAGCACTGAAACTGAGCCCTCCAAAGAAAAAGCAAGGGCATGCAAACTGTAAAGCTATTATTGAAAATGAGGAAAAGGAATTTATGAAAACAAAGACAGAAATGTATCACATGGCTATATTACAGTCCTTAAAGAACCCCTGCCATGTTCACCAGCAGATGATGAAGTAGGTGCCTTTGTGGAAACATTTAAACGATTCAATCCACTACAAAGAACTGTTGCAAGAACAGTATCAGTGACATGCTATTCAATGTTGAAAGGGAAAATAAACCACCACCAACAATACCTGTAAATCGTTCACAAAAAAATGCTGACTTGACTATCACATCAACTGGAAAGTAACCAACTGCTTCTGCTACATGTAACAGTCCTTAGCAAACCCATACTAGACAAGACGGTAAGTGTCAATTGATTAATGAGGTGAGAGACCTGTTTATTAATTTGGGGAAGAAACATTACTGCATTTCATCTATTAAGTTCATCCCTCTATTAAGCCACCCCATATAAAATCTTCATCCAATAAATGTAAATTTCATGCACTATAACTCATAATTTTCAGCCTATTTTATGTTAAGTGTAAACCATAGACCTTCTACCTGGAAAATGTCTTCTCCCACTGTTAATCTTGTGCTACTATACGTCTCCCTCCTTAGGAACTATATACATACTACAGTAAATTTAATTAGCCCAATGGGTGGCCTAAATAGAGAAAATACAGTACTGAACTTTTGGTAGTGCATTCAAGTTTTCATTAATTTCTATATGTGTTTATTTTGTCCCCTTAAGGGACATTTTACATGAACAGAGGCATACAGCACTGACGTACAACAGCTTCAAAGGAAATATGGAAAGGGAAATGTAATTTCTGCTATGTATACAAGTTGTGTACAGGAGATTGGAATGTCACTGATATATTATGCTGATGATTCGAATTTGTGTGATGAGTGTGAAAAGGCAACCTGGCATTCATAAACTCAGTGTGTATACTCCAACACAGTTAACCTTTCAATAAGGACTTGTTTAGTTAAGTGTTGTAGTGTCTGTCTAATCTAAGCATGTCCATCTCTCCAAAAAATTGGTACATGTATGTATTTCTCCACAGTTGACAATTTGAAGTCATTTCAATGCAAATCTGCACCCTGCAGCCCACAGAAAGCAGCTGCTGCATAGTTTTGGCCTTTTCCTCTTGCAAAGTTACTTTGTAGCAGGAACGAGCCTAAGGTATCTGGTTGCTTTCTACAGACTATTTGCCATGGGGATGGGGCATTACCATATATCATATACATTCTGTGAATGCAAGTCGTGATTTGAGTTACCCTTTTTGCCTGAATTAGATTGTGTCCCACCATGGTCTGGCCTATGTACATACATGTACTTTTGTCATTACTGTGGGACATTAACAAATTTAATAAGTGATGAAGGAATATCAGGTCTGTGTAATAAAAAAATATATACCTGCATATTACAGTACACATGTCAATACATACCATATAATACATACCGTTATGTACAATCATACATGCAATGCATGCTTGTGTGTGTGTGTGTGTGTGTCCTGTTTGGGGACCCTAGGCCAGACCACCCCTAAAATCCAGCCCCTCTGTTTGCACAATCAATTTGGTAGTTTAAACTTTACCCTGTTTTTACAATGTTACAAACCTCAAAAAATTATGCACAGTGACGGCAGCAAGAGTTATCTTTATAACTTTCTCTTGCTCAACAAGAATAGGGGCTCTAAAAACTCTCCACCGATTGGCAATTATTCCACTATCTGCCTCACAATCTGTAGTTGTAGATTCTTTTGTTGATGTCCAAGCCAGATTGCGGGTAAGGTTTCATCAGGTAATCTGTTAAGCCAAAAGCATTATCTCCGATCAGAAGATAGGGCACCAGCCTCGTTCAACCTGGAAGTGCCTGTGGTGGTGGTAGGTTATGACGGTTCCCTTCAGAGGCGAAATTTTTGTTCAGAATACTGTTTTGCCAACAGTGCCCAAAGACACTGATAATCTGCACCAAAACCAGCCATTAATATGATATTGTTGTGGCCCTTCTAGTTGTAGTAATGCAAGCCAGTATTGCAGGGCTGTTGGATGATTATTCTCTTTCCATCAATGGCACCTATTCCATTTGGAAAGTTCCAGCATTGCTCAAAACGTCTGGCTATTGCAAGCCAATTATTCGTGCTAGATGGAGTTTTCAAATTGGTTGCATAGTCCGCATGTTGTAGCAGAAAAAAGTTCAGTTTCATTAAGCACGTCTTAGATCTGAGAATTTTTTCAAAACTTACCATTTTTGACCATGCTGATTCCGAGTCTGAAGAGTTCCCAAGTGGTACACCCCCAGTTTTTTTTATTTTCCATTTTTAACCACCATTCATCGAAAACAACTTGCTGCCATCTTTAATTTATACCGTAGCCTTTCACAAAATTCCATCAGTGACACACTTTTAAATTACACCGCAGTCCATCAATTTAATGATCGGGTAGCACGTTCGAATGATGGAATATAATCTTCAGGATCTCTATACCAAACTGGATAACCCATCCCAACTTTATTATTTAAAAAAAAACATTGAAAAACAAGAAAATGTAGGGTTTTAACTATTTTTTTTCCAAAAAATGGGCTTTATAATGAATAAGCTTGAATATGTAGTGACTTCTTTGAAGCTTTCCACGCAATATGGGACATAGCGAGGGTAGACCAACTTGCATCATCCACTTTGACAGAAAATTTGAGCCACAGAAAAGACTATCTAATGAAACTTTGAAAACTATATGTTTGAGAAGAGAGGAATGGCTTGCTCTTCCAGACGAGTGCCACGACAACCAAAAGAATATTGCAAATCAGTCTTTTGAATTTATACCTGACCTCGTTAAAGATATTCAGGAGTTACAAGAGCCTGCAATTTTATCACATGTCTTGTTATCTAAGTTTTTTACTTATGTAACTAAACTGCAACCAGCTAAAAATTATATCGAAAAGAGAATTTCTGCAGGTCTTACTCAAAATATTAAACCAGAAAACGAAGATACAGAGGATAGTGGCCCTAAAAGATAAGATATACGAAGGTCAAGAAGACTGAGAGATCAAAACGGCACAAACGATGCTAACATTTCCACTCGAAAGTCATCGCATGTTTTTCCGGAATGTTGCTTGATATGCAAGGAACCGGGACCAATATATGTCACTGATCCAGTAAGTATACTATTCAATGAAATGCATATGCATTTTTAATACCATATACCAACTATTTTGTCTACTTGTAGAATACGAAGAAAAGGATGAAACAGGGCCGCCTTTCACCTTGCACAGACAATTACCGCTGGACGTCTTCAAACGGCAGCAGAAGTAAAAAATGATGAGAGCATTTTGGTCCACATACGTGGGCAGAACTGTGTTGCTATAGAAGTATGGTATCATCAGAAATGTTATTACAAGTATATGAAGAATGTTTATGTGGACAAATATGGACAATGCAAAGACAAATTTAGGAGCTTCAGTCTACGAGAAGGCATTTGATGCTATTTGTACTAATGTAATAGATAACAGAATTATAGACGGCAAGGAAATACTCCTGTGAGTAATATTTTGAAGAAGTTCAAAGAAGCTGTGATTCAAATCGATGTTGATTCAGCAGAAACATAGGAACCCTAGATTTATTCAGCTGACCTTGTTGCTGGAGAAATAGCAGATGATGCCATGGAAATTGATCAAACTGACAGTGACGATGATGAAAACAATGACTGCTACAATGAGGTGGATAGAAATATGGAAGATATGGAAGCATGTCAAGTGTTCAATGTCGCAATGGAAATGAGAGGAATATTGAGAGATGGCAAAAATGTGGCAGATTGACCTCCTGATGCCACCGATTTGAGTCTGATAAATGCACTTCAATCCATACCTCACCAATTATTTAACTTTATTGCATGGATAGTTGGATTTTCTGATGAACCAGAGTTGCAACATAACGTTAACATACGGACATGATCAGTGCTGCAAGGTTGCTTCAATATGCCAAGATTTGATTTATGCTTAGGCAAAAAGAAAAAACAAACTCGCAAATCATTGGCGCTTGGCATGACTGTTCACCAGTTAACTGGATCAAGAAAGCCGATTGGTATTTTGTATGGACTTGGACACACTGTTTCATCCGACACTGTATGTACACATGATTCAGCACTGGCTACACTTCAGACGTCTGACTCTGTGATCATACCACGAAATGCAATGTTGGCATGTTCAGTACAATAGTATGGGACAATAACAATTTCCTTGAAGAGACAGTGACAGGCAAAGGTACAATGCATGTTGTAAATTGAATCATCCAAAAGGGGACACCTTCACATCGCGATAAATTAATAGTAAGTAAAAAGGTCCGTACAATAAAGGTTCCTGCAACCGGTCTTCCATTGTAAGAAAGGTCTTCCATTGTAAGGCAGCATATTTCCGGTGATGATTTCGATATTCAGGATGGCGATTTCCTTCAAATCCCAGGGAGAAATCTGAACCTAGCATTGTGGTTGTATTTGACAAAGCAATTTATGCAAAGGTGCAGATGCTGAGATGGAAAGAAGTCTAACTTAACGAGCGTGTTGTTGTGAGACTGGGAGAGTTTCACTCAATTATGTCATTTTGCAGTGGAAATGGCAAAATTTTCAAAGACGCAGGATTGAAGGTAGGCTAAATCTTTTTAAAAAACACTAATTTATTGAAAGGTTTCTACTTCCGGCAGTCTATCAAAGGTACCGAAAAAATGAATTGGTCAACCTTTTATTTTTGGTGAGTCACTAGGGAATTTTTAGGGAGGCAATTACGGTCATCTCTATATTTAGACCCCTCCCCTTCCTTGTAATAAGCTCCCATTTTAAGGCGAAGAAATGTATCGAGTTCCCTTCTCTCTATTAATCCCCCTCTAAGATATATAAAAGAATGGTAAAAGAGGTAATTCTATAGTCTAACATTTTTTAGGATATATTGATCGAATCTGAGGTAGTTGCACCCGCTTCAGTAAAAACAGTTCTCTTGGGGAAGCATTACAACCTTTGTGTACGAGCTCACAAACTTACTCTGTTTACTAGCTTTCTACGATTCCGTTGCAAGGGTCCAAATCAGAGAAATTGGGCGTCATTGGTAACAAATTACTTGCACATTTCGACGAGAATATGGCTTAACTTATCTCTAACGATGAGGATTTTATGTCTTCGAATACTGCTTATGAATGCTTCGTCCAAAAGCGTAGTGAAGAAAGTCAAACGTTCGCATTTTGGTCTAAACTATATACAAGTTAAACTATATAGAAAAAACAAGGAAGCAAAGGATAATAGAAAAGGAATTATATAAAAACTTAACTGACAATTGGTGCCAACCAAAGAGGGTGTTCATGTCTGACGTATTTTTCTTTTAAAAGAAGAAAGGGTTCCAGAATTTTTTAAATTCTCAGAAAGATGATTCCATTGCATGGCACCACTATATCGAAAAGTTTTCTTTAAAAATTCACTAATAGGCTTAGGTAAGCATAGATCTGTATCGCTGCTACGCAAATCATAATTAGATTGAATTGTGTTTCTTTTGCAGAAACACTCGCTTAGATTAGGGGCAGTGTGGTTATTAAGTATTTTGTACATCATCATCAATTTATTTTCCAAACGTTTCACATCAAGTGTTTGCCAACTGAGAGCATCCAAAACATCAGTAGACCCAATATCATAACTGGCTCCAGTAATCACTCTAGCTGCACGGGATTGAAATTTTTGTAGTTTATCTTGAAGTGATTTTCCACAGGTATCCCACAGAGGGGAACAATAATCAAAGTAAGGTTGAATTAATGCTTTGTAAATTGTTTGCAGAGTTGCAGGTGGGACAAAGGGCTTTATTTGTTTTATAGCCCCAATTGCGGCACTGACTTTAGAACATGTCGAATCGATGTGTGCATCCCAAGTTAATTTTTCGTCAATGTCCACCCCCAAACATGTATATTTGCTGGTTCGAGGGACTGGTGTATTATTCATCAATATTGGCGTATTTCCAATTTTATTGATGAGGTTATAAGATGAAGCAATAAACATGACTTTTGTTTTGGTCGGATGATGTTGAAGCTTATTTTTTAAAAGCCACCTCTGAATATTATTTAGCTCATCATTTAAATTTTGAGCTAATGTCTCGAAATCGTATGAGGAAGACGAAATTTGAGTATCATCTGCATAGAGATACGGAAGTGATTTTTCAAGAGATCTGGCATGTCGTTTACATAAAGTAAAAATAATAATGGTCCTAGAATTGAACCCTGGGGGACACCGCATCTTATTTTCTTCGGTAAGGATGTGTGGCCATTTACCAAGCAAACTTGCTCTCTGTTCGTTAGGTAGGACTCAAACCATTTCAGTTCAATATCATGTATTCCAAATAGATTTTTTAGCTTTCTCAATAAAATCTTATCGTTAATAGAATCAAACACTTTGCAAATATCCAAAAATACTACTCCATTTATTTTGCCTTTATCCATATCACTTAGCCATTGGTCACACATCTGAATAAGCGCATCCACAGTTCCATGTTTTGGTTGAAATCCTGATTGAGATTTTGATAATGGCGAGTTTTCATTCAGATATTTATAAATTTGAGTAAACACTTTGCTTATGATGGGTAGAATCGAAATTGGACGGTAATTTTCACACTTTTTTCGCTATTCTGATTTATAAATCGGAGATACTCGAGCTAATTTCCAGTTGTTTATGTAAATACCAGTGCTAAGAGACTGTTTGAATATAATGGTCAACGTTGGAGCGATGATGTGTGATGCCGCCTTAAGAACTTTTGCCAGTATGTTATCAACACCGGTTGCTTTAGAAGCTTTAGACTTTGAAGACGCAGGGCAACATTACTCACACTGATAGCGGAAAAATAAAAACGAGTCCCAGGACAATGTTGCTGGAAATTTGGGTCATCACCCAAATTATTATAGAGCTGATCAGACTCAGCTGCTAAGTTTATTCCTATATTCGTAAAAATATCATTAAAAGATTCAGCAATAGTAGTAATATAGAGGCCGTTCGGGCCTTATTTTCAGGGGGCCGCAAGGGGGCCGCTTCATTATATATGCAAGTAATTATTATGCAAGGGGGCCGCATCATTATTTATGCAGATAATTAAGGGGGCCGCACAAGTGAGGGTGCGTAGTGACGTCACTCGTTAGTATACGTCATAATTATATACAATAACATCACGCGGGCGAGCTTAAACACAATCGGGCGAAACTTGCTGACTACGCATTTTTTAGCATCCCACGTGTATGATACAATAGAGGGATTAATCTTCGCTTACTATGAATAGTTTGTGTCCCTCGCATGGAAAATTGTTATCGAAATTAACATAGCAGAGTTATAGCCGTATCTTTGCTCTTTGAAGGATTTTTCATATGTTACATAGCGAGGAATCTATTCATGACAAAAATAAAGACATATTTTAAACAGACCTAAACAGTTGCTTATCCAGAGTTGTCAACGTCGTTGCTATGGTCAATATTTGTATGTTGTTCAACATTATTTAGCAATCCTCCTACATACATATATACTGTTAAGATGACCGAGTCAGATCACAAGAAAGCTGATCAAGAATAGAAGTTAGAATTCGAACAGTTGTAATATTTTTTGACACTATCATCTGTTATTTGTATCAATAAAACATGCTTTAAAACTTTACAAATGTTGCGTTGTTATGTGTTGCTAAGTCATTAGCGACGCTTGGGTGTATGCATATATTAACGTACAAAATATTTGTACACTTATCAGGCAGGCGGGTCGTGCGGGCGAAAAGAGCGGGCTTTGCCGGCAAAAAATTACACAATATTTCAGTTTTTAAATACATTTATTTCTTCAAAACGTTTTACAAAATTATGCTTCTAATATATATCGTCACTTGTTTCAGGGGTTTCGCTATCAGATTCTTCATCATAGCTGCTTTCATCATCGTGGCTGCTTTCATCTTCCGTAATCCATTTGGTATGTCTTGGGACTGTTATATGAGAACACAGTTTTAATCTCTTTGTAGTTGATAAA